TTACGAAAAATATTACATTAAAGTTAAGAAGGATATCAATAAAAAGATGTGGTCGGTATCACACATCGAGAAAACAACCCCTAAAATGGAGTTACCAACCTTCGAGGGAAATTATAACCAATGGGTTTCCTTCAAAGATCTCTTTACGGAAACTATTCATAGTAACCCATCTCTTTCAAATGCGCAGAAATTACAATTTCTCAAAAGTAAGGTTAAGGGTGAACCTGAGAAGTTGATTCAACATCTCCAGGTAAGCTCAGATAATTATCTCATTAGCTGGAATATTCTCAGTCATCGCTATGATAATAAGCGTCTAATCTTTACATCTCACCTTAACAATCTCTTAAATATTCCTAATATTCAATACCAGTCGTATAATCATATCAAACGCATTCACGATGTTACAAACGAGAGTATAAATGCGATAGAAAATCTTGGAATTAATGTTTCTTCCTGGGATCCCTTCCTTGTTTGTATATTGTCTCAGAAGTTAGACGCAGACACGTACAATGAATATATACAGTCTTTGAAATCGCCGAGAGAATTACCCGTATTACAAGATTTTTTGCAGTTTTTAGAAACTAAGTTTATGACCCTAGAAACTTCACGGAAGAAGCAAGAAAATCACACCCCAAAAGTGTCATATCATAACTTCAATCAATATAAACCTTCAAAAAATTTAAATAATCAATCATCATCTTCGAAAAATTTTAATCATAACTTTAGACAAAGTTATAATAATCCTAAGTATACTTATACTACGAATCAGGTTATTTCGCAACCGACACATTCCAGTAATAAAATTATTGAAAAACGCAAGCTGTGTCCGGTGTGTAATTCAAGCGATCATCGTATACATTTATGCCAAAAATTATTAAATATGCAGCCTATCGCACGAAGAAATGCTATTGCAAAATTGAACCTTTGTATCAACTGTTTACATTATCATGAAGGTAAAAAATGCCTTTCGCAATTAATGTGCAAGGAATGTAATAAAAATCATAATACAATTTTACATGAATGTTTTACAAAAGATAATATGACACCGGACGTTTCACGATCTAGGTTACACGTGCCCCAGGTTGTGAAACATTTACCTCAACAACAAGAAATTAACACGTTAGTATCTCTTCCAAGTGACCCTGCCGAAATATTACTTGCCACTGTCATTATTAAGATACAGGCAGCGGATGGATCTTATAAAAATATGAGAGCTCTTTTAGATCAGGGCTCACAAATCTCAATTATCAGTGAAAATGCTGCTCAATTATTAAAAATACCTCGACAAAAATGTAATGGTTACATTTCTGGGATAGGAAATACAGAAAACAATTGCAAGGGCAAAATCTCTATCAAGTGTTTATCGATAGTCAATGATTATACCTTTAACACGGATGTATTTATTATGAAAAAACTTGTAAGGAATTTACCGAGCTATACCCTGCCAAAACCAAATTGGCCTGAGCTTAATTATATAATAGTAGCTGATTCAGAATTTTATAAAAGTAGCCCTATTGATATATTATTCGGCGCTGATGTTTATTCTGATATTATCTTGGACGGTATTTGTAGATTTCAAGAAAGGTTTCCGATTGCGCAACAAACGCAGTTGGGATGGATAATAACCGGTAATTATAAAACCTATCAGTGTAATATAATCCTTAATAACGATATCCAAAGGTTTTGGGAAGTGGAAGATATTCATGAACCCTTAAATATGTCACAGGAAGATCAAAATTGTATAGAGTTTTTTCAGAATACAACCTCAAGACGTGACGACGGCAGTTACGTTGTGAAAATACCTTTTAAAGAAAATCTCGAGGAAAAATTGGGCGAATCGAAGTCAAAGTCTATCGCTCAATTTATTCAATTGGAAAATAAACTAATTAAACAACCTTATTTAGCTCGTGATTATAAATTATTTATATCGGAGTACAAAGAGCTCGGACACATGATACCCGTTGTGTCACGCGCCGACGTAGAGTCGAGTTGCTACTTATCGCACCATTGTGTACAACGAGCGGAATCATCAACTACGAAATTGCGAGTTGTTTTTAATGCCTCTTCGAAAACTTCGAGTGGATTTAGCCTTAATGATCTTATGTGTAGGGGGCCAAATCTACAACAAGACCTTCAAACACTAATCTTAAAATGGCGACAATTTAAATATGGTTTTACAGCCGACATAGAGAAAATGTTTCGCAATATTTGGCTTCATTCAGAACATCAAAAATTCCAGAAGATTATTTGGAGAGATGATCAATCCCAACCCTTAGGTGAATTTCAGCTAGCCACTGTAACTAAGGCCGCACCTTTCTTGGCCATGATGATCCTGAAAAGACTTGCAATCGATGAACGTTCAAATTATCCTTCCAGTATCGCACCTGCTGTGTTAGAAAGCTCATTTTACATGGACGATCTGTTGCATGGGACTCACTCTGCACAAACAGCAATAGAGCTGAAGAACGATTTAATTAAACTACTTAAATCTGGAGGTTTCAATCTTAGAAAATGGCGTTCAAACTTACCTCTCCTTTTAGAAGACATGAACGATTCCGAAAAAGAATTCGACTTTAAGCACCAGGAGTCAATTAAAACTTTAGGCCTTCGTTGGAATCCCAATGCCGACGAATTTATCTTTTATCCTATTAATTATATCCCAAATATTACCCCTACTAAGCGACAATTATTGTCCGAAATCTCAAAAATTTATGACCCTTTGGGCTGGCTAGTACCAGTCACTACAAAACTTAAAATTTTATTTCAAGAAACTTGGAAGTCTGATCTAGACTGGGATCAGCCGATACCTCATAAATTAGTCTTAGAATGGACTAAAATAAAAGTCGACATATCCTATATATCGCAATTTAAAATACCTCGATGGTTACAAACACAAGAAAATGATCTTAGAACTCGATGGCACTTAACTCAGAAAATCTATCATGATATTTGGGTCAAATGGAAGAATGAATATCTCTCACAGTTATCTATTAGATCCAAGTGGAAACGACCTCAAAAAGATCTCAACTTAAACGATATAGTCATCATAAAAGATGAAAATCTTCCGCCCGGTAAATGGGCTTTAGGGCGTGTTGTAGAGCTACATCCCGGAAGTGACGGGCTGGTGAGAGTCGTCACTCTTAAAACCAAGAACGGTTCTATTAAACGCCCAGTCGTTAAGTTATCTCTTCTACCTACAAATAATAATAATCAATCTTTAAACCAGGAGAAGGTCGATGAAAAGAAGCCTAAAGCGAAGAATTTCAGCGGCATCTCTTTCTCTGCTATGGTTTTATCCTTAACATTATTTTTCCTTTCAATACTTAGTTCGTGTCAAGCTCAGCATAGTTACACACCCCGTGAAAAGTGAAAGTGTTGTGAGTGAGTGTGAAGTTAGGGAAAAAAGGCATTATCATAATAATAAAAGTGTTAATAAACAAGATCGAGCTTCCTCGCCGATCTTTCGTGTGTTTTCCCTTCCGGAATTAAATAGGTATAAGTGAATCTTTGTAGCTAAATGATAAATGTACTTCATTTTCTCACCCACAACTAATCATATTATAAACATTTAATATTAAAATTTGTGTATCACCTTGTTAGTCTTAAGTTCATCCTCCATTTTACTAACCCTCATCTTTTCCTCCCCCGGGAACATGTACGATTTACAACCGTACAGGTATTTGCAATGTAAATGACACCATGCAATATGATTTGCTTGTGTGTTCATTTTCATTATATCTTATTATATTCAGTTAAGTTAGTTCGCATTTAGACCTCGTACCGGGCGCGACTCTTAATCTCATCTCACCCCACTAGTTTAGTCCATTGCTCATAAAATAAATAATTATCCCTTTAAATATCTTAATAATTTATCCCAACCCCGAACATGGTGCGTTTTAAATTAAGAATTATATTTGAATTGTATTAATGGTTCTGAATAAATAGATTACGACTGATTTTTATTTTTATTCTTCCCAAAAAATCGTTATTTGACGTGTATTACTTACATGTGTAAGAGTATTTTTTTTACATGTAATAATACTTTGTTTGTTTTTATAATAATAAAATTACATCTTTAACTTTATATAGCATGGCTATGAACGTAATAAAATATTTTTTTTATTGGATATCTTTAAAGATCAGATTCCTTAACTGCAACAAATGCTACAAACTACTCTCTATGGCGAGCTTGTAAGAACTATAATAGACCGATAGATCTCAAACCGCACAGTGGAACGAAACGGGCCGGTAGTGGACTTAGCATTTGACCTAACCTAACCTTTTTTTTTTTTTTTTTATGAAGGAGGTTAAAATGCACAAATGCAGGCCCGCGGGCGTATGCAGTCGCTACCGCGGGGACTGTGGGGATGGCTATCTCAAAGTCCCTCTGCTAATCAGAGGGGAGAAGCCGGACCCACTAAAAATTCCTCCTGAACCCTCCATACCGCCTGCGGTACCAGACTACACCCATTCTGAATGAATGCCGTCCGGCACCGCATTGAGCTCCCCGGGGATCGCACTAGGCATTCAACCCAGAAAGCTCAGGCGGGTATGTCCGCATAAGGGCCTGGCGACGACGCAGTGAGACGCAGTTGGACCCACGCAACTATGCGTATATTGGGCCCACCCTGCGCCTACCCACCCTTCACCTTGCCGTCGCCAAGCACAACCCCTCCGGTCGTTTCAACGCACCTCCCGCTGACGATCGACAGCCGGAAAACCGGCAAACCGGCCCCACGAAACCGGTAAACCGAAAAACCGGGAAAACCGGCCCCATGAAACCGGTAAACCGGAAAACCGGCCCCATGAAACCGGTAAAACCGGAAAACCGGCCCCATGAAACCGGAAAACCGGTAAACTGAAGTTGAGAATATGAAAATTTTTATTTTACAGGATTAAAAAATTATAGTTTTTTTAATGACCAATTTAATCAATGACATGATGTACAATCAATATATTAGGTAAGTTTTAAGCACTCACAAGTAGATACTTAAAAGAGGTCAGGAACTCAGTTTCATTTTTTTTAAATTTGCTTTTGCGGTTAAGGTTGCTTTTAAGGGTGATTGAGTAAAATGTTCACTTACTGGAAGTGTTGGAGCAAATGCCTCTTCACTTTTAATTTTTTCAGCTAATTGTGTTATGGCAGCATTTGAAAATGGCTGTAGCCTAACAGGAGATGGAGAGCGGGGCTGGAAGTTCATACTATTATCAGCTAGTTCCTGCTGAGCTGATAATTGTTGCATTTGCTGCTGCACCCTCAAAGCCTGTCTCTGTCGCCTCTCATATTCATTTTGATCATCTCTACTCTGGAATATCAAAGTCATATTCATACATCTATCAACGTTAAAGTGTAATAAAAATAGCTTTAGAACACAACAAAATTTATTCTTATTCCAAATAGAGTAAGTTGTTGGCTTCTATTTCTTCAATGTATAAAACTCTATTTTTAATATATAAGTGATCATAATGTAAAAAAAAAAATATGATAAAATTACCAAAGCATAGTCAACATGCAACCATCCATTAGTTCCCTGTGCCTCATCATCATCGTCATCTTCATCCATATCACTATCCCGATTTATTAGCTTTATTCTATATCCTGATATAACCATAGCAGCTTCTACACAACTTTCTCTATCAAAACGTATGTGGCAGAAGTTCTTTTTTGACAAACGCAAGATCTGGATCCTACCATAATTTTCAAACACATCTCTCACAACACTCTCCCTTATTTTGTCTGGTAGGCCTCCAACAAAGATTGTTCTACATCCAGGAGGTCTTGTTCTTTTAGGTGGTTCAGATGATCCTGGTGCAGGTGGTATTAATTTACAGTGTTTAAACACAATTTCCTTTTTTTCTTGTAATACATTTGGTGTTATGTTCTGATACATTGCCATCACTGTTGGATCCATCATGACACCTCCCATCATACTCATATCTATATTTGCAGGCGCGTTGGGTAAGGCAGAGGTTCCCATAGCTTGAATATCCATAGTTTGCTGTGGCATAATTTCAAGACCTGGTTTGGAATCATTTCCATACCAGGGGGTGGCATTATACCCCCAGCCATCATGCTGTTTTGCATCATCATATTATACATTCCACCCATCATCATATTACCTACAAAAATTATTATATATTATATTAATAATCTTGGATAGACATTTCTACTTTCACTATTTAAGATATAGGAAGAAGTTATGAAGCTTTAATTACCTTGAGGAAACATATTTTGTATCATCATAGGATTTATTGCATTTGGTACCTCCATTATTTTAGTGCCATCGTGATTATCCTTAATCCTATTGCGACTCCTATTGGGAGACCGAGATCTTTCTCTCCTGCCTAATTGTTGCGACATTGCGCAATGTATACATCAGGCGCATTTTTTGCATTATAATAATTGTAAGGTGGGGCGACGTGCGCCATCACTTCTCTTTGTACTTGACTAGCGAAAGGTCATATTATAATGAAATTAAACAAGTTTGTACAAGAAGTCTAAAGAGTTTCATTTACTGGCCCAGTCATTCCCTAAAGAATGAACATGGTGGCCCATGAGGGGATCAAAGAAGAAATAGAAGATTAATCAAGAAATAATCAATCGAATCAAATCAGTAGTACAGCTAAAGTGCCACATCGAGAGATTTAACCAAAAGTTAAGTGTTCCTTGTCCTTTTCTTTTTGTGTTCCAAACTGTGTCCTTAATTCAATTAATTGTGCAAATAAGTATTTTATTGATAATCCTTTTTTAAAGTAGTGAGATTAAGTAATTGGTTAAAAATTTAATTTTTCATAGCACGTAGGTACCTACATCTACGGACGGACCTACATTTAGGAAAAAATTAGTGATTATTTTATTGTTGTTTCATCTTTTGATTTCGTTATGTAACATTTAATTAGATACCAAAGACACGGAGATATACAATATTATTTTTATATTTTATTTATATATGTATATATTTTTTTGTATTTCGTCTTAGACTTCGTAAACACTAATAAGGTATCTAATTGCTCTCTAGCTAATTCCGTGTTTAGGTAGTTAGATTCAAGCGCATTTGCCGATTTTTTCAGATTTTTTTTGTCGCGTCGACGCGGCAGTTGCATTGCACCGGCCGGGAGCCGTGAGTAAGCAACTAAAGCCGGGTCCACATTTGTAGCATATTGACGTATCACGATCAGTCGTATCGTATCTAGTATCTGTATCATAAATATGGACGCTCATTTTGTCCATGTCGTATATTTAAGGCGTATCTTGTAAAAAACGCGTCCATACTTATCAAATGCTGTATCATGTCAGTGTATCGGCTTTAACTTTACAAATATAGACGCTTCACTTTTCTTCCGATGTATCATGATGCGCGTGTCTTTCAGTGCACCTTTCCCTTCTCGCAATGTTCAGTCATGTCTTCGTTCCCAAACGGTTTAACCATGTCAGCAATTGCTCACAGTTTGGCGGTGACTAGCGCCTGTTATATTATCATTAATAGTATTTAAAAAAAAGTTAAATCTAGACGTAGACGGCGCTGGAAGTGTTTAGAAACCGAAACAAACATGGTGGAATACCATTGATGCGAGATTTAAAATTTCAGTATACCAGCGGAAAATACAAAAATTTCACTCGCATGTCACCCATTGATGTTGTGTATTCCCTTTGATCATCGCGAAAAAACCGACACAGGATGGTTCGCGGTGTATCAAGTATCGTATCGCGATACAGTATCGTGATACAGTATCAAAATACGTCCATACCACCGATCGTGATACGCGTATCGGATACGAGGTGTATCAAGATACGCGCTTAGTGCGGATCGGGCCGTATCCGATACGGCATGTATCATAAACGGGTATCATTTTGCGTCCAAACTAACGATCATGATACGCGCCGAAGCCACGCAACGGAGATACGATACACCGAAATGCTACAAATGTGGACCCGGCTTTAAGCATTGCGTGGCAGGTACCACTGAAACGAGGAACGTGAGCCAATTTCATTTAATTAAGATATTTCAAATTTTCGTTTTTGTTTTGATTGTAGCTTATCATGTCTGTGGAAGGAAAATTAAGATTAAAAGAATTAGTTATTAGAAGGTCGTCTGCAAAGGGACAAATAACTAAATTTAAAAATTATTTGACTGGTATTAATGATAAGCTGGAATTAAATAATATAGAGTTTACCGAGTTGAAATTAAAATTGGCTAAATTTGAAGCTTTGTCGGTTAGGGTTGACGATTTGCAAGGTGAAATAGAAGTTTTAAGTCCTGAAAACATTTCAACCGAAATTGATGAGCGTGATAATATCGAACAGGATATTATAATAAGCATTGCAACCGCCAAAACTTTAGTTGAAAGGTTTTCAAAGGTATTTGATTGTGAACATAAGCGAAATTCAATGCATAACGTTTCATGTTGTGTTGAAGAATCTAATTCTTGTACTGACCTGGGATTAAAATTGCCACAGATACAAATTAATAAATTTGACGGTGCATATTTCCGTTGGCTAGAATTTAAAGACACATTTGAAAATTTAATTCACAATAATGACCGTATACCACCAATAAATAAATTTCATTACTTAATTTCTTATTTACAAGGTGACGCGGCTAGAGTTATTTCTAACTTCGAGGTGTCTGCTAACAATTATGTCAGCGCATGGGATTTATTGTGTAGCCGCTATAATAATAAACGTATTCTTATTAATCATCACTTAAATTCAATATTTAATATTAAGCAGCTTCCTCGAGAATCAGAGCGTGCTTTGCGATTTCTGGTAGATCAAGTAACAAAGGATTTGCGTGCCTTGGCAAGTTTAGGGCAACCTACGCATACATGGGATACATTAATAGTGTTTATGTTATCTTCAAAATTGGATAACAACACTTTATTGAAATGGGAAGAGGTTCGCAGTAGCTTAGATGGTGATGTACCCAATCTGGAACAATTTTATAAATTTTTAATAGATCGTGCTGATATATTAGAATCTTTAAATCGAAATAACAAGTCAGATATCAATGTTTCTAAACCTCATGTTCAAGTGCGTTCTACCTATAATAATAATTATAACACTATGGTAGGGGAGCCCACGATGCTAAATGGGGATTTACTCGAGCGTCGTAGAGACCTATTGGGATGCAAAGCTTAGATAATAAGAAGAAAAAAATGTTATATGATAAATTCCTTTTCATCGGTGGGGGAAGCGGCTATAGATAGTTAAATATGTAAAAAAAAACTGTTGCATGGACATCCTCGAGCGCGTCAGATATTGATAGCATCTATGCCCTACGTATTTTTAATAATATACGTATGTTAATCTGATCGTTTGCATGATGCGGGTGGTTGTATTTAAGGGTTGAAAATGAAAAAAAAAAAAAATATCGAGCGCGTCAGATTTTCTAAGGGAGTGTTAAGTGCACCAAAAAAAAGCTCTCATTCACTAATCTGACGATTTCGATGGGACGCAAACCCACAGCCATTTTCATAATTTGCAAAAAAAAATCACAATTTTGAAATACTCAAGCGCGTCAGATTAAGATATATGTGGTTCATCTTTATGTTCTAAACGTACTGTCTCATAATCTGACGATTATCTAGAGGGATTCGCCTGATCTGACAAAAAAAATTTAGAAAAACGGTTCACCTAAAGGGCCATCCCTGCAACTTCCCGCTAATTCCATTCCTGGGCGCTTAAAATTGATATTTTGAGCTCGCTGAGTTCAAAGAAATAACATTTCTATGCATTTGAGCTCTCCCAGGTCGAAAGTCTGATAGAAGTTTCATAGAACACTATTTTTGGAATTTTCAAACCGCAATAACTTTTGAATGGATCAAGCAATTTTCACGCGGTTGGCGGCATTCGACGCAGTTTTATCATCCTCATAAGTAATTTTGCAATTTTAATTGATCGAACCACAAATTTCGGAGTAATCCCGAATAAACACTTTTTCGGGTTTCTTTCGTTCACGATATCTCTCGAACGAATCAACCGCTTTTGACCAGCTTAGTGGCGATCAACGTGGTTTTTCAAGCTCAAAGGTGGATTAGTTTTTGAAGTTGATCGATAAAGAAACCACTTTAAAAAAAATATTTCTTATTTTTTTAAGATTTTTCAAAATTTCTCAAAATCTATCGGTCCGAATCGGTTCAAATTCACAGGAAATGTAATTTTGAGGGAAATATTTAGAACGCCGTTTAGTAGATTCCGATCGGTTTAAGGAAATGTAGGCATCACGCAGCTGCACGCATTTAACTTTATCGACGAATTTTTGTTATTTCGGCTTGCGGAAATCGTCAGATTATATATTTTTCATTATTCTTGAATTATTTCCTTCAAAATAAAAAAAAATTAGCTACGCTCGAGAATGTCGAGATGACGTTTTTTTTTACAACTTTGTTGCCCTCCCCTTTTTTCCGTCACTCTCAAATTGTCAGATTAGTGGAATATACACTTTTTAGGATGTAATTAACTCACCCTACCTTAATCTGATGCGCTCGGGAATTTCTGATGGTCAATTTTTTTTTACTAATCTGATCCTGTCTCCTTCACAGGCGGCTTTATATATGGACCTCATGTTTTGTGGAGGTACTTAACCGAGTACAAGCTATCCCCCTGTATATTAATCTGCCGCGCTTTAGTAAATCCCGAAATCCCCTCTTGGGCTCCCCTACCATAGTAATCAATTTCTAAAACAAGGACAGGGACAAGGAAATCAAATAAAAACATTTCTAAGTTATAAAAATAATAAAAATAAACAATTAAATACAAAATTTTCATGTATAATTTGTGATAAGAATCATAAAATATATGATTGTCCTACCTTCAAGGACAAAGGTTTAGATGAGCGAATGCAAGACGTAGTGAAATATAAACTATGCCAGATTTGTCTAAGGCAAGGTCATTCCGTAAATGATTGTCGTATGGGACCTTGTCGCGTGGCTAGATGTACGGAAAAGCACAACAGTATGCTGCATTGCTCATCCAACCCATCTACATTAAGCTCTAATTCTAGAGACAGCGATCAAACAAATATTTTTGTGAATTATGCTAACGAAGACACATGTCACGTACTGTTGTCTACTGCTTTTATTGAGGTGTCGGATCCACTTGGTCAGCAAAAGATCAAGGTTCGCGCGCTTCTAGATTGTGGAAGTCAAGCTTCTTTTATAACGAAATCTTTACAGAACAGATTGTCATTAAAGCCTAATCAAGTTGACACTCTAAAGGTCATCGGCATTGGCAACTGTTCAAGTAGTGTTACTGAAACTTGTAATATTCAAATAAATTCATTAAACAGTAATTACAGTTCAATGTTGTCTTGCTACGTTTTAAAAGAATTAACAGGGCAATTACCTAAAGGCCCAATAGAAATAACATTTAAGTTGCCTAGGAACATGCAGTTGGCTGATCCAAGGTTTGACCAACCTGCTCCAGTAGACGTCTTGATAGGTGCAGACTTATTCTGGGATATAATAAGCGATGGGCAATATTCGCTAGGCAACTGTGGTCCAAAGTTAAGAAATTCCCATTTAGGTTGGTTAATATGTGGTCCTATTTATTCAGCAAGGACTAGCAGAGCCATACAGTGCAATCAATGTTTAGTACCATCTCAAAAGAATAAATTGGATAATTTGTTGATAAAGTTTTGGGAGGTAGAGGACTTTCCCTATAACTCAGTATGTAGGAAAAGTTACGATGATAAGGAAAGTGAACAGCATTTTTTAGAAAACACTACTAGAGATAGTGATGGTAGGTTCAATGTAAAATTACCTTTTAAAAGGGCTATAACTTGTTTAGGAAATAGTTATGGTTTAGCTAAAAAACGATTTTTAATTTAGAAAAAAGATTTAGGCGTGATTCTCAATTAAAGATAGACTATTCCAAATTCATTGATGAATATAAAGAATTAGGGCATCTATCAGTTTTATGTCAGGGTAAGATATTTGATGAAGGTTCACATTATTATTTATGCCATCATGCAGTGATCAGGTCAGATAGTGAGTCTACTAAGTTGCGAGTAGTGTTTGACGGATCAGCAGCCACTACAACTGGTTATTCGTACTTACTTACGGCTGATATAGAAAAAATGTACAGGCAAGTAAATGTTAAAGAAGGTGACAAAAATTTTCAGCTGATACTTTGGAGGCCGAATGAATATCAGCCTATACAAACATTAGCTTTAAATACCCTGACATATGGAACAGCATGTGCAAGCTATCTTAGTACACGATGCTTATGGCAAATAGGCCAAGAGCAAGACGATGAACTCATAAAGGTCATCATCCAAAGGGATTTTCTTGTAGATGATTTGTTGACTGGAGCTGATGATCCAGAAACATTGATTTATATACAAAGGGCTGTATCATGTGCTTTAAAGTCAGGATGTTTTAATTTACGAAAATATAAAACTAATTTTCCGTCAATTTTTACAAAATTTGAAATAAACAAACAAGATAATTTAATATTGAGTGAATCCTCCAGTACTTTGGGTTTAGGTTGGACTCCTTCTACTGACACTTTTCATATACCAGTAAAAGAAAGTATATATATAACTGGACAACCAATCACAAAACGATTTAATATGTCGAATGCTTTTAAAATATTTGACCCGTTAGGAGTATTAAGTCCAGTTATTATTATTCCTAAGATAATGTTGCAACGTCTATGGCAACAAAAGATTGGCTGGGATGAGCCTGTTAGTCAGAAGATAAAAGCTGAATGGATAAATTTTGTAGATAATTTAAAGTATTTAAAACAATTGAATATTCCGAGATTAGTATTGGGGAATTTACCTCTGTTCATAGAATTACATTCTTTTAGTGACGCATCGCAAATTGCTTATGGTGCAAGTATTTATGTGAGAACAATTAGCAGCAACAATCTCGTCACTGTTAGATTATTATGCAGTAAATCAAAGGTAGCTCCTCTAAAGCCTACTACTATCCCAAGGCTAGAATTATGTGCGGCGCAACTTCCCGGAAAACTTACAAAATCGGTGTTAGAGTCAATTAGGTTTACACCTACGCGGATAGTACATTGGTGCGATTCCAGTGTTGTATTATGCTGGATAAAAGGGGATATAGGTAGATTGAAAACCTTTGTAGCCAACCGCATTAGTGAAATAAAAGAAATAACTTCTTCTTCAGCATGGCGATACGTGCCATCGGAATTTAATCCTGCTGATCTTATATCTAGGGGAATTCAAGCTAAGAATATTTTGAATATGAACTTGTGGTGGTTAGGCCCTAGTTTTTTGCATGAAGACGAGGCTAAATGGCCTGTTTTAAAATCTTTTGATATAAATAGTTTACCTGAAATTAGGGTTAATTCGGCTGTAATAAATGAATCATTTATTGATTTTAATAGGTATTCCTCACTGACTCGATTACAAAGAACAGTTTCATATGTGCTTCGATTCATATTTAATATAAAAAATAAAACTAATAAACGCCTAGGTGCACTATCAACTAGCGAATTGAGTAACGCCATGAACAAGTTATATGAGTGTGCCCAAAAACAATCATTTCCAATTGAATATGATTTATTAATCAAGGGTAAACAGTTGAATAGCAAAAGCAAAATTTTATCTTTATCTCCATTTCTTGATGAAAATATAATACGAGTTGGCGGGCGTTTAGATGCATCAAATTATTACTCTTATGAAAGAAAGCATCCAATCATATTACATAGTACCAACCGCCTTACTCAATTGTATTTTGAGCGAGAGCATTTAAAGCATATGCATGCTGCCCTGCGATTCTGTAACTCACTGTTAATCCGTGAGTCCACTACGCAGTAACAGCGCTCCCTTCGTCACTGACGTAATTTTTGGAATCTCATGGTATTCTGTTAAGAAATTTTACATTACGTCTTGATAAGTGGAGGAAGGTAACCTAGTGAGTTGTTGTCTATTAATATCGTGACAATTGACTCATTTTATTTTATAAAAAGAGTTAATTGTCAAAATTTTCATCATACATAAACAAAATATTTTTAATAAAACAAAATAGAGAACAAAATGGTCGACGTTTGAAATAAAATTAATAATATTAAAAAAAAGATAAACTGCCCTGCGATTCTGTAACTCGCTTCACACACTCTCAGCGCTGAGTTTTGCTGTCAAATCGTTCGTTTCGGTGTCATGTTAC